AATGCCCTTAAATATGTGCATCAGATACCTGTGCTTTTCCGCCATACCCAGCTAACAGTTCATTTATAGTCAGAAGCTGAGTTAACAACACTCAGCAATGTATCAGTGAGACCAGGCTGCTTACTATTGAATATGTAAATCGCATAGATTGTGCCGACCCCCGCTCTGCCAGAGCTGCAGAGGCTGCCATTTCAGCAGCTGTTGTTCTGCATCCTTTCTTGTGAGGTGTCCAGAGAGACACTCATTATTCTAATGCTCTCCTGATGCACAGTGACTTATGATTTTCACTCTTCATGAAGCCTGAAGCACCTCATTGCTGATTATAGAGAGGAGCTGGGCACAGATTGAGAGTTGAGTTCAGAGAAGTGTCTTCTATGTGTGTACTTCTCTGAGAACGATTTTATAGCTTTTGCTGTGACCGTTACTGTAGGCTGGATGTCGATGTCATAATCTGGAGTCCCTCCTGTCTCATTTTTGGGTGTGGTGATGTTGAATTTCCTCTGTACTTGAACTGCGATAGTAGTCTGTCTAGCTAATGTCAGCACACCTACAGAGCATCCTGACTGGTCCTTTTCTGCCCTCTTCTCTCATCCTCACCAAAGCTCCCAGGCATACAGGGGTAGGAGTACCCTGGCTTCTTAACCTAGTTGCAGAAACACAGAAGATATACCATAAGTATGTGGCGAAAATGATGAAATAAAGGACATTAGGAAAACCTCTTTTGTTTTTAGTGATCTCTCACCACATATTGCCAAGCATCTGGGGGGGATGCAGAACTGACCAAGGTTCCAGAGTTCCACAGAGCGAAGAATATTAATGCTGCACAGCTATGGAACATTTAATTGAATTTAGCCAATTTGAACACTGTCATAAGAAATAACTCTTTAAAGCCAAACATGGTCTGTGACCAGCAGCGTTGGTATCATGTGGAAGGTTGTTAGAAATGCAGAATCTTGGGGCCTCCTGCAGATCTGCTGAAGCACAATGTGATGTACATTCAGTAGGATCCCCAGTGACTTAAGCACACATTAAAGTCCGAGACCGTTATGTTAAACACTTAAAATGTCAGACATTCTACAATAATTAAAGAGCTTGGGCTCTAGAATCACACATGTGGGATCAAATCCTAGCCACACCACACATTCCTCACTAGCTGTGCACCACTGAATGAGTTGTTTAGACGCTCAAAGCTTGGGTTTCCACAAGTGTGAATTAGAAATAGGAGCCCTTCCAAAAAAAGGATAGGCAAACTGATTATGAAATTGTCACACACACACAAAAAAAATAGGAGCCCTTCCCATCTCATCAGGCTGTTGTGAACACTAATGTGAGATAATATAGTTAAAGAATCTTCAATAAAATGCCAGTAGGCATTATTATATTTGTAATAATTATTAATATTATTTTCATTATAGAATAAGAAATATTGCAAATAACTTGAGATCAGTGTAAGAAAGTGAAGATAAATTCAATATGAGGCCATTATGTTCCTCTTAACAATACTACAACAGACTATGATTTCATTTTGGGGGTACTTTATTTCTAACTCTGTGTCCCAATATACATATGTACTTTTTTTTTTATAATTTATTTTATTTATTTTTGCTGTATTGGGTCTTCGTTTCTGTGCGAGGGCTTTCTCTAGTTGTGGCAAGCGGGGGCCACTCTTCATCGCGGTGCGCGGGCCTCTCACTATCGCGGCCTCTCTTGTTGCGGAGCACAGGCTCCAGACGCGCAGGCTCAGTAGTTGTGGCTCACGAGCCTAGTTGCTCCGCGGCATGTGGGATCCTCTCAGACCTGGGCTCGAACACGTGTCCCCTGCACTAGCAGGCAAATTCTCAACCACTGCGCCACCAGGGAAGCCCCGTATGTACATATTTTTAAAATGTAAATAAACAGAATAAATTTTCACATAGTTTCATATAAAATTCTATATTACTCCTGCCTTGAATGCCTGCATATCTCCCTTAGCTCATCTGTCTTGATCTTATTTAATGTTGTACAGCCCTTTGTGCACTTCTGATCTCTACCATTTTCTTTCCCACCTCCTACTCGTTTAACGTTTAATATATGCCATTCATCTTCTGTGAGTCTGATTTCTTTCCTCTGACTAGATTGTAAGGTGTCTTGGGGAGTCTTGCACAGAATAGCCACTCAGTAAATATTAACAGATGTTATGCCTAGATTCAAGTCCTAGCGATTGTAGGAGCTGAGTAGCATTGATTAATATTTCTGGAAATAGTAGAAAAATAGAGGCATATATGTTGGACAGAAATCTGCAAAACAGTAAGGTCACTGTGTGAAATGCACGGGCACGTACACATTTCACTGAACTTGAGAAAATCCATCTTGTTTGGAGATGTTCTTAGTTTCCAGTTGAATCTAGGTAATCGAGAAATAAAGTTTACTTGACAATTCTATTAAAGACATGAATTTGACATTCACTATTTTTTGTGTTTCTAGAGTCAAGGAATAATGTTATAACTGATAAGCCATTGAACTTCTTGTACATTTGAAAAATAGCATAACATAGTGGTTGACAGAATTAACTTAGAATCCCAAGCTAAGTTCACTTCTCAGACTTGTCACTTAAAAATTGTGTAACTTTGGCCAAGTTCTTTTACCTCTTTGTGCTTCAGTTTCTTCATGTGCAAATTGAGGGTAATAATGAAAATTTTATGCAGTTGTTGGAAGGACTGAGTTAATGTATTTCAAAAACTTAGTTTAGTGCCTGTCACACAGAAGGTGCTTTGTGTGTAATGTAGAACTATGCATTACAGGTGTGGTCTTTGCGTTCATGGACTGTATCAACAGTGCAGTAGAGGAAACAGGCAATCACAGTGAAGTTATCTACGTTTGTCTATACTATTGGCCTTGTTAATATAAACTTCACAAATCTATTATATTGTTTTAGGCACACTTATTTTCTTTTAAAAAAACCTAACTCAGGGCTTCCCTGGTGGCACAGTGGTTGAGAGTCCACCTGCCGATGCAGGGGACACGGGTTCGTGCCCTGGTCCGGGAAGATCCCACATGCCGCGGAGCGGCTGGGCCTGTGAGCCATGGCCGCTGAGCCTGCGCGTCCGGAGCCTGTGCTCTGCAACGGGAGTGGCCGCAACAGTGAGAGGCCCGCGTACCGCAAAAAAAAAAAAAAAAAAAACCTAACTCACACAAATATTTAATGAAGAATTTAACCTCTTTTCCTATCTCTAACTTTCTTTATTAACTTTTTAATGTAAATTTCTTCTTCTGGAAAATGGGTAAGACAAGTATTCTATAGGAATTGGCTTAATTACCTACTGTTTATCATGCATTTTGATACTGTTGGAAAAAACATTTAAAAGTGAAAGCATTGTAGTTTTAGATCTATGAATATTTAATGGAATTTAATGGTCTCCAATTCCTGAATATTATGAAAGGATTTATTAATAAAATATTTCCTTTGGACATCTCATCAAAAACAGCTTAGCATTTATTTGACAATATCTAGTATGTTAACAGTATCAACATTGCCTCTTTTACATAAATATCTAATTTAATCATTTAATCATTTTTTTCTCCATTTCTCAGAAAAAAAAGAAAAAGAGGAGGGAAGAGGGAGGTATTTATGGTAGATGAAATTTAAGGTAAATGACATGACCAGAATTATATAGTTCTCCAGTGTCAACATTTATACTGAGATCTCTTAACTCCAAGCTCAATTTTTTTTTTTATTCTATACATTGTTATAAAATCTCTTTTTGGTTTAGTCTTTCATGCTTAAAAATAGGACTTGTAATCAAGCATTAATCAGTGCTATAACAGTCGTATAGAAATTCATATCATAATGAGATTTCTAAGTGGAAAGTAAGTAAACACTAGTGCATTATAAGTACTTATATGACAATTGGCCTTATTTTCTTATAGCCCCCAAAAAATAGCTTGATTTTTTAATTAGAATTTAAAGTTTGTTCAGATCCCTACAGGAGCCTGCAGGTGTGCTAGTTAAGAGCACAGGCTTTGAAATCCATTCAGGTCCAGGATGGATGACTTTGGACAAGTTATGTAGAATTTTTAAAAATTATTTATAAAATTATTATTTGTAAGAATTATTTGTAAAATATCAATACATACCTTGTAGGGTTGTTATAAGGATTATACATATTATGTATTACACATTATGTATTACACATTTTTTAGTATTACATATTTGTATTACATATTTTATATATTTCTTAGTAGATTATCTGACCCATGTAAACATCCCTTTCAATATTTATTTTGTACAAATAAAAACAATATTAACAAAAAGCCAAATTATGATTCAAAAGCATATTTAATCAGATAAGAATAAGCTAGGCTCCCTGTAGGTTAAACCAATCTCTCAGTATTCATTATTTTTATAAGGCAAGGTGGAATATCCATTCATTGCTATGAGCTACAGTAGTAGCTGGAAGAATACAGAGAATTGCTTAGGGGAGGGATAGTGTTTTATTCATCTATAGACCTCTGTGACCAGCAAAATTCATTTGGCTATGAATAGTTTTAGAAGGGGAAAAAAGTGTTGTGCGGTTTTTTTCCCCCAACATCACTGTCCCTCAGACACTGAATGTTTGATATATGGTACAAAAACCACCACATTACAGAAGTGATTGATGCCACATAGCATGTCCGTTTCCAGTTCAGAGGAAAGAAACTTCCTTGTGCCTACAGTTAGAAATACTCAGTGGTGTGACATAAGTGATCAAAAACTAACCAGCCTTTTTAAAATGTTTCTTCTTAACCACGTCCAGATTCCTCCAAAGGACCTCAACCATCTTCAGGTGTGAGTGGCAGCACACAGCCCCCTGGCGCCGCTGGGCAGCCCCCGGCCTCGGCCATCCCGTCCCCAAGCGCCAGCAAGCCGTGGCGCAGCAAGTCCATGAATGCCAAGCACAGCGCCACCTCCACCATGCTGACCGTGAAGCAGTCGAGCCCAGGCACCTCTCCCACACCATCTGCAGACAGACTGAAGCCCCCTGCCTCGGACGGGGGCAGAGCAGCTCCCTCGGGACAGAAATCCATGCTTGAGAAGTTCAAGCTGGTCAATGCCCGGACTGCTTTACGCCCCCTGCAGCCTCCCAGTTCAGGACCCAGTGATGGTGGGAAGGAGGACGATGCCTTTTCTGAATCTGGTGAAATGGAAGGCTTTCACAGTGGTCTGAATAGCGGCGGCTCAACAAATAGCAGCCCCAAAGTGTCACCGAAATTAGCCCCTCCAAAAGCTGGAAGCAAAAATCTCAGCAATAAAAAGTCTTTGCTACAGCCAAAGGAAAAAGAGGAAAAGAACAGGGACAGAAATAAAGTTTGCACTGAAAAACCAGTCAAGGACGAGAAAGATCAGGTGGCAGAGACGGCTCCAAAAAAGACCTCTAAAATTGCAAGCTTCATCCCAAAGGGCAGCAAGACGACAGCAGCCAAGAAGGAAAGCTTAATCCCCTCTTCCAGTGGGATTCCAAAACCGGGCTCAAAGGTGCCAACAGCAAAGCAAACTGTTTCACCGGGAAGCTCAACAAGCAAAGAGTCTGAAAAATTCAGGACTACCAAGGGAAGCCCTTCCCAGTCCTTCCCTAAGCCCGTAACGACTGAGAAAGCAAGCACATCCAACTGCCCTGCTCCTTTGGAAGGAAGGGAAGCTAGCCACGCCTCTCTGGCGGGTTCCTGTGCTGGGTCAGCAGCGCAAGGCAGTGGGCAGAGCGTGGGAAATGGTGCTGTCCAGCTCCCTCAGCAGCAGCAACACAGCCACCCAAATACTGCCACCGTGGCTCCATTCATTTATAGGTAAGGCGAGCTCCGTTGGTCCACAGCTGTAAACACTGACAGGTCCGCATACTCAGAGTATACATAATAAGGAAGGTTGCGGAGTCCTATTTCACATAGTCATTTTGAAACAGTGTTTCATTCTGGAGAGAGAGGCCTAGAATTAAAATTTTTAAAAGAAAGCCTCCCATATCCTCCAATGTATTAGTCCTCATCTCCTTCCCCTCCCCCCCTCCCCTCCCCCCAACTCAAGAACCGAGGCCCTTGAAAGTTAACCTACTTGCCATCAAAGGCAAAATAGAACCCAGATGTCATGACTTTTCCCTGTGTCTATTACTTTTACTGCTATTATTTCTATTATTAGTCTTTTAAAATAATTCTCATTTTTATAGAGTGTAGAGATATTTTTGTTTTCACCCATGAGAAAAAGTAAACCATAATGGTTAAGGGGGCACGCTCTGGGATCAGGCAGATATAGACTTAATGCCCAGCTCTGCCACTTACCAGCTATATGCCTTTGGACAAAGAATTTAACATCTCTTAGTCTCATTTTCAGCTGTGAAATAGAAATAATAGTATCTACCTTGTAGAGTTAGGAAGAATAACAGGCATAATGCATATAAGATGCTTATTGTATATTGTGGCACATTGTATATGTTTGTTAACTGTTGTTTATAAGGCGTTCCTTTCCCAACATAAAATTTATATTAATTTTCACAGCTAGGCCTGTTGTTTCCAGGCAAAAATAATAATCTATATAATTTTATATTTAACTTTATTAATTTTTGGTTATATATTTATATTATTTTTCATTTATTAAAATACATAGCACATGCTATATTTAAAAATATATATCCTACTAAACAGTTGTAAAAAGAACACATTTTGCCTATTGTCTTGTGGTAAGTTTTACTCGATTAGGACTATGTCAGTGCTGCTGTGTCTCCATTTTTATCCACTGTCCTTTCAGTGAAGAGGTGGCTAGGAAGGAATAATGCCTGTGACTTTGGCAGGTGTACAGTTCATCAACAGGAGAAACAGGATGTAGGATCTGCTGCAAATAGGAAAAGGTCACGATTATATAGTTTCAAATTTTATTAAATTTATTAAATATGTGAGTTTTTAAGTAAAGAAAATAATTATAATGATTTGTTTTCCCTCAGTGAAAAACCTAAGTGCTTTAAGTGATATTTTCTGGGGCTTTATATATTCATCCACACAAATGTATAATTATTGAATTTCAGGTCTACCTCAAATAGCTACCTCATTTAAGGCTGCTATTCTGACTTTAATAGCAAAAATTCATTTAAAACCTTTGTATCTGCATCACATGGTGTTACCGAGCCCAAGCTTGCTCTGCTTGCCACATGACAGGCCAATAAATCAGGAGATGAGTTGTTGGGGCAAGGAATAACGACTTTAATCAGAAAGCCAGCAGACCGAGAAGATGGCACCCTAGTCGCAAAAAAACATTTTCCCTCAGTCCGCATTCTCTGGGCTCTTTTTCTACAGAGAAGGGGGAGGGGGAGGGGCCCACTGCAGTGCCAGCCAATGGCTGAGTGTGACCACTAACAGTCAGTTGCTCATCGACAGTTGCTCACTAAGCGTCGCTCGCTTGGGGGAGGGGCCCAGTGCGACACCGACCAATGGCTGAGGGGGACTGCTCTAAGTCACTCCTGTCCCACCTGTATTACAATGGGAGTCTGCAGATCCTTCTAGCTCCAGAGACCCTATCTGACAAAGGAGAATTTCAGATGTCAAAATCATAATCCACGTTTCAAAAATATAAGAAAAAATTATAAACTTCAAAATATGTCATACTCAGCACACTTGTCACTCTCAGATGTATTCTGTAAGAACATCAGTCATTTCAAATCACCATGGATGAATTTCACAGGAAAGTATAAATCTAAGCAAAAAGAATACATCCACCAGTTTAGCAAGCTTCTTTCTATAAGTAGCAGCAAACTTCTTTGGTTGTTTGCAATAACATATCCAGTGGGTACAGATTTAGTGATTTTCATTTGACAGTGTAACCTTTGCTATCTGAAAGAGGAAGCAGCACAGTTTAGAGGTTAAAGTGTGAATCAACCATGTGACTGCCAAATTCTCCAGCCTCTTTGAGTTTCTTTTTGCCCTGTTTAAAATGGAGATTATACAAGTGTGGTAATATAGCCAAGTAGCTAGGATTACAGGCTGTAGAGTCCGTTTGCTCTACCATGGTTCAGAAACTGCACCTTGTATTATTGAGACAATGGCCCCAAGAGCCAGGTTGCCTGGGTTGGAATCTTGATGACACCATTTATTAGTCATGTGACTTTGTGTAATGCATTTAAAGACTCTTGAGACTCAATTTTTATAATCTGTAAAATGGAGATGATAATAATAGAAGCTTCCTCATAAGGCAGTTTTGAAGATTAAATGAGTTGATATTTATACAGGGTTCAGAACAGTACCTGCCACACAGTAAATGACCTTCCCCAGACTTCAGTTTCTAATTCTGTAAAGTGTGGTAGAAGAATATCTACCTAATTTGGTTGTTTTAAAGATTAATTAAATAAGGCAATCTTGTGTAAAGTCTTCAGCACAGAGCCAGATTCAGAATAAATTGCTTATAAATGTCAGTAATTATTTGTTTTATTATCAATAATATAAAGTAGTTGAAAATAAATAAAACCATCTAATAAGAAATGTCACATCATAGTCTACATATGAGGAAAAGGTTGCTTGGAGTCTTTTATAAATTCAGAATAATTTTATAAGTGATAATATAAATGCTCTTAAGGTTGAGTAGTCAATATTCAAGTTTCTTAACTGTCAGTGAAAGAGATATCGTAGAGTCATGTCATTTGGCTTATGTGACCCCTGATGTCCTTTCCACTCTGACTACTCCAACACCATTTAAGAATTTCTCTTGCAAAATCCCTGGCAGACTTTTCTGGAGGTGCTAATCATTTGATGCAATAATAGTAATAATTTACTATTTTATAATGGTTTTTGTTGAGTGCTTACTTAGTACAAGTCTGTATTACAAAATTTATGTTCATTTTTTCATTTAAACTGTGTCATCAACCCATGACAAGGGAATGTTACCCCATTTTACAGAGATGAAGAAGCAGCGATTTCAAGGCAGAATAATGATAATCTCTTACAGTCACAGGCCTGGCAGGAGTTTGCCTTTGAATCCATATATGCCTGAGTCTGTAGTGTGCCCTCCTTTGCTTAGCAGTTCTTGCTGTATGTGTAGAAATAAGAGGTATTGTTACTAGGAAAATTCTGGCTGGGAAAATGTCAATAGCAGATTTGTAGATATCGTAATCAGAATTCATTTATATTGGGAAATAATTGCTTTTAAGTAGAATAACTTTAAAATACATATATATGTATGTATATGTATAAACATACATACATTTGATATTTAAAGAAAATTAAATAACCTCTGTATAATGGGAAGATCCATGGGTGATGGTGATATTTTTCCCCGGTTCTCAGCCCACTTCTAGGTCATGCTGGTTATTAATTATTCCTTCTGGGACCTTATTATATGCTTCATAATACTCTTTCTTGAAAATTGAATGTTCAAAGTCCTATAAATATAATGTTGAGTTCTGGACGTTAATGAATTTCATTTTAGTCCTACTTCCTGCACAGTGCAAGGATATTCTACATTAAGTTTTTATAACTCATTTATCACTACTATGTGATAAAAGTAGTTTTGAATTGGGCATATCTTTATCCATTTAATGAGTGGATATAACTAAAATCAAAGGTGAAAACTTTAAGAAGATTTTAACTCACTATAAGAAGTTCCCAATAAGTAGACCTGTGTGAATGGAATAGCCTGCCTTTTTTAAGTGATGCAGGTGGCTACCGGAGATTGTTAAGAAGCGATACAGTGACCAGTTGCCATAGTTTAACTTAAGGGAATTCACCAAATATCTTTTTTCTTTTATGTGCTCATCACTCATTCTGCAAATACTATGTAATAAGAATTACAAAGAGTAAAAAAAGAAAAAATATCTGCTCTCTGGGAGCTCAGTTTTATTGGTGATAATGAAAAGAATTTAATCAAGAACTTAAAACATCACTGCTGTCGTGGAAGTGTATGCAACAGATAAGGTAGAAGAGTCTTCCTGAATTTTACATGAGGGCGGAGTCAGTGTATGCATTCAGAAGATCTAAGAGAAGAGATGAGACTTAAAGGATGAGTTAGAATTTGTCAGGTGGAAGGAGGAATGTTATGGCATCATCCAAATTTGACATTCTACAATTTTACGATCCAAGCATGTTGGAAAAAATAACAGGCAAATTACGAAGTGCTATGCAAAATGCTAGTAACTAAAACTGCTAAAGACTAGAGGTTAGAATTCATGATTACTTGAATGGGAGACTAGGAAGAAAATTTGGAATGAATCCATACTTTGTTCTCTTTCGCTCACTCCTTCCCAACACATCTTATTTTTGGCTAGTCCTATTGACTCTCGCTGCAAAACATACCCTCAGTTGGGCATTTCCTTCCATTTCTACCCTGCCTTCCCCTGATCATGGCACCACCAATTTTCACCTAGTTTCCAACGAGTCTTCCAGCATTCACTTTTGGTCCTTTCCAGTAGCGTCCTTCACACAGCAGGGGCTCTAATCTTCTAAAAGTATAAATTGTATGTCATTTAAATTCATGAGACCATCTACTGGATTTACATTACACTTGAAAAGTAAAACCTAAGCATTTTACCAAGCCCTACAAGTTCCTACATAATCCGGCCCTCTCTCTAGCCCTTAAACTACGCTCACTGCCTCCCTGCCTTCATTCTGTTTCTTAACAAACTAACCTGTCCTGCTTTGGGGACTTTGTCATAGATGTTCTCTCTGTGTATAAGGACTCTCTTCTGGATCAGAGCAGCCTCCTGGGGCTTCCCTGGTGGCGCAGTGGTTGAGAGTCCGCCTGCCGATGCAGGGGACATGGGTTCGTGCCCCCTGTCCGGGACAGGTCCGGGAGGATCCCACATGCCGCGGAGTGGCTG